CATTTCTGGGCTACCATACGGTCTCAAAGGCAACAAAACCAATCTGGGAAATTTCAATGTGTAATAACCGGAAAGGGAAAAACCTTATATTTGACCCTGTAACTTTCCAAAACACCATAAAACCTGTACATGGGGAGTACTGTTCTACTCGTGAGACATCCCTAAACACAAATATGAGTGTATTAGAGCAGCAATATGTATAATAATGATGATGATATCAGTTTCATACACTGCATTATATTTACATTTTTGTATGTGCTCATGTTTGGCCATGTTGAATCCTGACAGCAGAGGTGGCCATTACCATCAAAGGAGAATATTTTGCAAAGGTCTACGGAAATATAAAAATCAGCTGAGGGGCCATTACTAGCTGCACAGTGTAAGTAAACAATCTCAAAGATGATTGCTGGGTACTCAGCAAGTCAAGGCAGGCAGCAAGCCTGGGAACCCGAATAAATAGACCCATGTCCAAAGCAAGAAACACGAAAAATGTGATCTGAGATAAACACTGTAGAGTGGACAATGTATAGTGGGAAATATATAATTTTAGAAGGCAATTGATATAACAATTGGATGCAGTGAGCACTGCTTAGGTCTGGGAATCTTCTCTGCCCCATTATAAAACACATTAACGTTATTATAACTTACAGTATTATTTTATATCTGGAACAATGTTCTCTGTAAATGTAGAAAGTAAGAGTTTTACCTAACTTGAGATTTCCGAGGGCACAGAATGCATTTTGTATCATTACGTAGTTCAAGGAATAATTTCCACTTTCATGTTCTTTATGAGATAATCAGTTCAGCTGGAGTGACTTCAGATTTTGATTGTAGTATACAGTAATGATGGGGCACAGTAGAAGTACTATAAAAGGAACATTACATTGCCACATTCGCAATAAGTCAAACTGCCCTGTTTAATATTGCTTGTGCGCTCGGCCCTGTCTGTATACTACTGCGGAGGGATTTGGCAATTCCACAGAGATCCAGAAGAATTAACGTACAGTAAAATAAGTATACTGCTTGGACTGTCGTTTCAAACTAATTTATGGAAAGATAGTGGTAGGTGACAAAACATTCTAAACATACTGGTCATGCAAACATTCACATCAAGAAAACGTTTTAAAGACGATGAAACTCTGGATATCCTTTACAGACTTGAAACGCGAATTTTATAACTTGTGTTATACTCAGTATGTATATTTAATTTTATTTTGCAAACAATAAATGCCAGTGCCCTTTGTGCCCCCAGGAAAGCATCGCAATCTTTCAAGTCTCTTTTTAAAGTTCTATTCAATGTAACAAAGACTACAGACCTGAAACACGTACAAATAGTATGATTGAAAAACTAGACACATTCTCGACTGTTCATCCCGTTTCAGACTTTATCTGTTACACACTAAAATGCCAACAACATAATCAACGAACGAACCACCAGCTATTTCACCCTTTTCTCTGTCAATTCAGGGACAGCCAAGGATATGACTTTCAAATTTAAATACCAGATTGACATCTTAATAAAAAGGCATGCATAAGCCTTTAGGAACCACCTCTGGCTAATCGAGTGTGTATGACTCCAGCTGTCCCCAGTGTAGTATTAAGATAGACAGAAGCAATGGCAGGCAGGTTTGTTCATTGAAAAGAGATATGACAAAAGCCTCAGGAAAAGCTTCTCGTGAGCTGGTAGAGAATGATCCCCGAGGTGCTATTTTATTGAGGAAAAAAAATGAAAATTGATTTTTTTATACTAATAAATAAACTGCAACTGAGAAACACTGTTTTTTTTTCCTTCTTGTTATTTTTAGCAAACAGTAAATCGAAAAGCAATCTATTCTAAGTTGGAAAAGTAGTGGTGCTTGAGATTTTTTTTCCAGATTGTCTGTTCTGGTCTACGTACTACCACTGTAACTTTTAATTTACTACTACATGTATATGTATACTGTCTGCATTATCTCTAAACACAAATGAAATGGATGTAGGAATATATTCCATTTCACTAAACTGTGTAAAAACATGGTATTAACAGAAATGTCTAAATGGATATAAAATAGATCTGTTGGTCCTGTCAGAGTCAAGCTCTTTAAATCTTTTTAGAAACCGGTCCATAACTGGTGGCTACACTCGCCTCTGGCAAACAGGGAGCGTTTGCAGCATTTTCCCACAAATTCGGGCAACTGAGTGAGTCAACAAGCCAGACGCACTATTAGACGTGAACGTACACACCTGCATGTTGTGAGACAGAGCAGCAGACACGCAATGAAAGAAGGGTACGACGCCTCAAGGCTTCGGGCATTACATTAAATTTTTTTGGGGAAAGGCCAACTGGTGCTCAATGATTCTGAAACAGTATTTATCTGCCAATGTTCTCTTCATGCTGGTTTCCCTACACTTGCTGTTAGTCCAGCTCTAGTTCCTAACCTTTTAATTGAATGTTACTGTATACCTCTGTCTTCTACCGCCTGCTTGTTTTCTAATCTTCAACCCAATGCTGGTAGTCCAACACACACTAGACATTCTCACTGGTGCAGTGTTGCATGCTACCAAAATGCCATCATGCACCTTCATCCAACCGTTAACATCTATCACAACCTCAATAATATACACACATAATGGAAACATTGAATAGAAACAAACATAACAGTCCTTGAAAATAAAGGAAATCTCAATAAAGAAACCCCCAGTCACGGAAACCTTAAAAATAGAGCATTAACTGACAGAACCCCCAGTTATTTCTTTTTCTCTCTCTCGACATAATGAGATGTTTAACAACGAATCCAGCAATAACGGAACGATCAGTAATAGAACCTCAGTAACCAAACACTCAAAATGGAACCTCAACAATGAAACATTTAATAACAGAACCTTCAAAAATGAAACAATAATAAGGAACATTCATTAATGGAAGGATCAGCAAGTAAGTCCTAAATAATGGAAGGCTCAGAAACCTTTATTAATAGAACACAAGGGATAGTCACTAAACTGAGAATTGCCAGGAATTCAAAGTGAATTTCATAATTTAAATCAAATTAACCAAATTAGAAAGTTTCTCAGATTCAATTCTGCTTCCAATTTGGGTTATTTTGGCCTTATATTGAAATTCACTTTGAATTCCCAACAATTCTCAATTAAATGAATAACTTTCAGTAATGGAACCCTCAATAATGGAAGGGTAGCAAGGGTACCTCCATTAATGGAAAACTCAGTAATGGAACCCTCAATAATGGAAGGGTAGCAAGGGTACCTCCATTAATGGAAAACCCAGTAATGGAACCCTCAATAATGGAAGGGATAGCAAGAGAACCTCCATTAATGGAAAACTCAGTAATGGAACCCTCAATAATGGAAGGGTAGCAAGGGTACCTCCATTAATGGAAAACTCAGTAATGGAACCCTCAATAATGGAAGGGTAGCAAGGGTACCTCCATTAATGGAACACTCAGTAATGGAACTCTCAATAATGGAAGGGTAGCAAGGGTACCTCCATTAATGGAACACTCAGTAATGGAACCCTCAATAATGGAAGGGTAGCAAGGGAACCTCCATTAATGGAAAACTCAGTAATGGAACCCTCAATAATGGAAGGGTTAGTAAGGGTACCTCCATTAATGGAAAACTCAGTAATGGAACCCTCAATAATGGAAGGGTAGCAAGGGAACCTCCATTAATGGAAAACTCAGTAATGGAACTCTCAATAATGGAAGGGTAGCAAGGGTACCTCCATTAATGGAAAACTCATTAATGGAACCCTCAATAATGGAAGGGTAGCAAGGGAACCTCCATTAATGGAAAACTCAGTAATGGAACTCTCAATAATGGAAGGGTAGCAAGGGAACCTCCATTAATGGAAAACTCAGTAATGGAACCCTCAATAATGGAAGGGTAGCAAGGGAACCTCCATTAATGGAAAACTCAGTAATGGAACCCTCAATAATGGAAGGGTAGCAAGGGAACCTCCATTAATGGAAAACTCAGTAATGGAACCCTCAATAATGGAAGGGTAGCAAGGGAACCTCCATTAATGGAAAACTCAGTAATGGAACCCTCAATAATGGAAGGGTAGCAAGGGAACCTCCATTAATGGAAAACTCAGTAATGGAACCCTCAATAATGGAAGGGTAGCAAGGGAACCTCCATTAATGGAAAACTCAGTAATGGAACCCTCAATAATGGAAGGGTAGCAAGGGAACCTCCATTAATGGAAAACTCCTAATAATGGAACCCTCAATAATGGAATCAATAATGGAAGGGTAGCAAGGGAACCTCCATTAATGGAAAACTCAGTAATGGAACTCTCAATAATGGAAGGGTAGCAAGGGAACCTCCATTAATGGAAAACTCAGTAATGGAACCCTCAATAATGGAAGGGTAGCAAGGGAACCTCCATTAATGGAAAACTCAGTAATGGAACCCTCAATAATGGAAGGGTAGCAAGGGAACCTCCATTAATGGAAAACTCAGTAATGGAACCCTCAATAATGGAAGGGTAGCAAGGGAACCTCCATTAATGGAAAACTCAGTAATGGAACCCTCAATAATGGAAGGGTAGCAAGGGAACCTCCATTAATGGAACACTCAGTAATGGAACCCTCAATAATGGAAGGGTAGCAAGGGAACCTCCATTAATGGAAAACTCAGTAATGGAACCCTCAATAATGGAGGGGTAGCAAGGGAACCTCCATTAATGGAAAACTCAGTAATGGAACCCTCAATAATGGAGGGGTAGCAAGGGAACCTCCATTAATGGAACACTCAGTAATGGAACCCTCAACAATGGAAGGGTAGCAAGGGAACCTCCATTAATGGAAAACTCAGTAATGGAACCCTCAATAATGGAAGGGTAGCAAGGGAACCTCCATTAATGGAAAACTCAGTAATGGAACCCTCAATAATGGAGGGGTAGCAAGGGAACCTCCATTAATGGAAAACTCAGTAATGGAACCCTCAATAATGGAGGGGTAGCAAGGGAACCTCCATTAATGGAACACTCAGTAATGGAACCCTCAATAATGGAAAGGTAGCAAGGGAACCTCCATTAATGGAAAACTCAGTAATGGAACCCTCAATAATGGAGGGGTAGCAAGGGTACCTCCATTAATAGAACACTCAGCAATGGAACCCTCAATAATGGAAGGGATAGTAAGAGAACCTCCATTAATGGAACACTCAGTAATGGAGCCCTCAATAATGTTAAGGTTAGCAAGGAAGCCTCCATTAATGGAACACTCAGTAATGGAACCCTCAATAATGGTAGGGTTAGCAAGAGAACCTCCATTAATGGAACACTCAGTAATGGAGCCCTCAATAATGTTAGGGTTAGCAAGGAAGCCTCCATTAATGGAACACTCAGTAATGGAACCCTCAATAATGGAAGGGTTAGCAAGAGAACCTCCATTAATGGAACACTCAGTAATGGAGCCCTCAATAATGTTAGGGTTAGCAAGGAAGCCTCCATTAATGGAACACTCAGTAATGGAACCCTCAATAATGGAAGGGTTAGCAAGAGAACCTCCATTAATGGAACACTCAGTAATGGAGCCCTCAATAATGTTAGGGTTAGCAAGGAAGCCTCCATTAATGGAACACTCAGTAATGGAACCCTCAATAATGGAAGGGTTAGCAAGAGAACCTCCATTAATGGAACACTCAGTAATGGAGCCCTCAATAATGTTAGGGTTAGCAAGGAAGCCTCCATTAATGGAACACTCAGTAATGGAACCCTCAATAATGGTAGGGTTGGCAAGGAAGCCTCCATTAATAGAACACTCAGTAATGGAACCCTCAATAATGGAAGGGTTAGTAAGGGAATCTCCATTAATGGAACACTCAGTAATGGAACCCTCAATAATACAAGGGTTAGCAAGGGAACCTTCATTAATAAAACACTTAGTAATGGAAGAGTTAGCATGGGAACCTCCATTAATGGAACACTCATTAATGGAACCCTCAATAATGGAAGGGTCAGGAGGGCAACCTCCATTATTGGAACTCTCAGTTATGGAACCCTCAATAATGGAAGGGTCAGGAGGGCAACCTCCAATAATGGGACACTCAGTAATGAGAAGCTCAATAATGGAAGGCTCAGCAAGAGAACCCCCAATAATGAAACACCCTCAATAATGGAAGACTCAGGAAGGGATCCTCTAATAATGAAACACCCAATAAAAGAAGACTCAGGAAGGGGACCTCCAATTATGGAACACTCAGTAATGGAACCCTCAATAATGAAAGGTTCAGGAGGGGAACCTCCATTAATGTAATTCTCAGTCATGGAGCCCTCAATAATGGAAGAGTCAGCAAGAGACCCCTCAAAAATGGAACACTCAGTAATGGAGCCCTCAATAAAGAAAGACTCAGGAAGGGAGTCTCCATGGAACACTCAGGAATGGAACCCTCAATAATGAAAGACTCAGGAAGGGAGCCTCCATGGAACACTCAGTAATGGAACCCTCAATAATGGAAGGGTCAGGAGGGCAACCTCCATTATTGGAACTCTCAGTTATGGAACCCTCAATAATGGAAAGGTCAGGAGGGCAACCTACAATAATGGGACACTCAGTAATGAGAAGCTCAATAATGGAAGGCTCAGCAAGAGAACCCCCAATAATGAAACACCCTCAATAATGGAAGACTCAGGAAGGGATGCTCTAATAATGAAACACCCAATAAAAGAAGAATCAGGAAGGGGACCTCCAATTATGGAACACTCAGTAATGGAACCCTCAATAATGAAAGGTTCAGGAGGGGAACCTCCATTAATGTAATTCTCAGTCATGGAGCCCTCAATAATGGAAGAGTCAGCAAGAGACCCCTCAAAAATGGAACACTCAGTAATGGAACCCTCAATAAAGAAAGACTCAGGAAGGGAGTCTCCATGGAACACTCAGGAATGGAACCCTCAATAATGAAAGACTCAGGAAGGGAGCCTCCATGGAACACTCAGTAATGGAACCCTCAATAATGGAAGGGTCAGGAGGGCAACCTCCATTATTGGAACTCTCAGTTATGGAACCCTCAATAATGGAAGGGTCAGGAGGGCAACCTCCAATAATGGGACACTCGGTAATGAGAAGCTCAATAATGGAAGGCTCAGCAAGAGAACCCCCAATAATGAAACACCCTCAATAATGGAAGACTCAGGAAGGGATCCTCTAATAATGAAACACCCAATAAAAGAAGACTCAGGAAAGGGACCTCCAATTATGGAACACTCAGTAATGGAACCCTCAATAATGGAAGGTTCAGGAGGGGAACCTCCATTAATGTAATTCTCAGTCATGGAGCCCTCAATAATGGAAGAGTCAGCAAGAGACCCCTCAAAAATGGAACACTCAGTAATGGAACCCTCAATAAAGAAAGACTCAGGAAGGGAGTCTCCATGGAACACTCAGGAATGGAACCCTCAATAATGAAAGACTCAGGAAGGGAGCCTCCATGGAACACTCAGTAATGGAATCCTTAATAATGTAAGACACTATCGATCATTATAAGCTTGGGTGGCCACTGTAGTTTGTATTTTCCTGGGGAGAAGGAACAACACAATGAATCTATGTCAGCAACAGCAACGGTGGAGTCCATACCTACCATTAGCTGTCTGAAATTATTACCTAACACTTGTTCCCTGCGCCCTTAAGTGGCCACAAAGCTCTCTTCGTTCTTTTTTTTTTTTTACATAAGCACATATATGTTTGTAAATGTTATGATATGTTTAAAAATCAATATGTGATATTTTACTGTTACACTATGAGTTTCTATTTCTCTTTTAAGATGATCAAAGTATTGACAAAATGACTCCATCCTGGTGTGATGGATTGTGTGATAGTGTTAGCAATATTTGCTGTTTTTTTCCTTTTGTGTAGTATCACTCCAGATTGTTTTTTATATTTTTATATTTTCAAAGGGTTTTAGAGTTATACCCGAGGTGGAGGTGGTCACTTGAGAAATTACACATTTAGCGGGACCCAAGCACCCTTCATTTTTCTTTTAACCTTCAAAAATGCAAGACTCAGGAACATTCTTTAATGGAACCCTAGTAATGGAACCCTCAGTAATGGAATCATGTACCCCTAGATCTGTTTTCTTGCTCCTCATTGTGCTTAGACCAGTAGACAGATTTCAAGATTTGCTCCTCATACTAGTCAGACCAATAGATCAGTTCTCGAGTTTCTCTGCTGTATGACAGACTGTCCGAGACCCTGCTTCCCATAGATTTCCCATCGTTGGGTCTTCTTCAAGTGCAGCTGCTGTTTACCCTGTCATTGTCTAATTAGTATTTGCCGACCCTTCTCGCAATTCTGCACAGACTGCAAATGGCTTACTAGTGAAAACAAACAATGTTTCCTGCCATCGTCCTCGTATATAATGCTATCTTTCGAGTCCGTTGCTGTCACCCATATCTGCTATATAAAGGAGATTAACATGAGGAGCCTCATCCTTTCAGCTGCCGTACTCACCAAATACTCCAGAACAGATCAGTAGGCTTAATGTTCTCTTCTGCACTCTCTTTATAATTAATAATGAATTAATCAATCTTCATAAATAACATTCTTAGTACATTTGAAGCAGGACTGCCAGATATTAGATGAGAGTATTTTAATTCATCAGGTACCATTAGGCAATTATTACTCTCGTTGCTCACTTACTGTATGTATATGGTTCCTTTACTTAGGAACTGTTTCAATAAAAGTACATTGACAGCTTAAATGCCTTATAGTAAGGCACAGATTATTATGCCTTTGTATAACTATGTAAGTGCGTACGCGCTGTCTTCTCAAATTTACACAAGTGGTATTTATGAACTTTGTCACCACTGATGTCAAATTTTATATTACAAGAGGATCATGGGAAAAAAAAGTTAATTTGCATGAAATGCCATGCCTATGACTTAACAGTAGACAACTGAATCAGGGTGTACTCTAATTGGACCATTGACTGATCTATCAAGAAAGCCTTGAGATTGGAAGCTTTATGTTGAGAACTGATCTATCAAGAAAGCCTTGAGATTGGAAGCTCTATGTTGAGAAGTCATCATATCTCATTTATTTAATTCCCCACAGGGCAAGCCATGGACTGAAAGCATGGAAGATTAAATGTTGTTTTAGGATATTAATTTATTAGCCTTACCCCCAAAGAGGGCAATGTCCCCAACAATGCACACCAACCAGTGTGCAGTAGAAGATGTGGGTCTGTCTAAGGAGCATCCCAGATCAAACCTTGGTACTGGCTACTAATGAACTCTACTAGTCAGAGTGTCACAGGAACAAAATGGGTAAGTCCATATGAAGGACTTCTTGCTCATAAGAGTCTTCCTGAAGGAAGAGAAGAAGAAAGAGGACACCAGGTAAACTGAGAGGCCCAGGCCACAAGTCCAAGTCACAAGTGTATCCAACGCTTTAGTAAATATTTGGGGGTCCATGAGGAAATCAAATAGTCACAAACTGGTAATTATGATCAGATTCTCCATCCTGAAAGTGTGAACAATTAAAACATGTTGAAAATCTTAAGGTCCGAGCTTTATCATAATTAAAGAAATTTCTTCATTGGCACCATGTAAAGATTAAAGCAGACAACATTAAATAATGGGTAAGTGCAACACAAAACAATAAGTATTGTTTATATCACTTAGTCCATAGTATTTCAATACAGTTCCTTCTAAGTCCTTAGTTTATGACACAATCTTTGTTTTCTAAAAACTATAAGGCAATCCAAATTGCACAGTATCACCAACACTACTAATAAATTCCTTCACCACAATGGACCTGTTCACCTTTCCAGGTGACTCCACGGAGCCAGCACAGCCTGTATGGGACTTTTTTAATTAGGATCAATATATCGGATATAATGATCCTGATGAAAGTCCCAGACAGGGACTGAAACGTTGATCCCATGTTTTTAATCTTCCAAATAAAGAAGAATTTTATTGGAAATCATGAGTGCTGCCATTTATAACATTATCTGGATATCAAATTCCCAGGCTGAGCACCCGGCAAGTATATATCTATATAGTCTGAGTGCAAGGATTTTTATTAGTGTATGTATATATAAAGAAAATAAACTGCACTTGACTCTCGATTAAAGGTTACTGTAAGTACCATGACCACGTGATGACATGTAACCAAAGCACCATTACTGGGGTCACATTAGCCAGAAACCAGAGTTCCGGCAGGCTAATATCAGTTCTGTACATATTGAAAGCATGTTGTCTGCACAGACGGCATATTAGTGACACATGTCCAATGACCGCACAGCACCCCTCATCCACCCATATTCTTTTCTCAGCCAGTCCTCTTTTAACATCCCTTGTCCAATAGCTAGGCAGAGGGACGTCAGTGAAGGAGGACTGGGCTGAGCCTGCCGTGTTTCCCCAAAAATAAACCTAGCTACCTACACACCTTCACAGCACCCTCACACACTGTACCCCTCACACACACACACACACACACACACATGCTGCACCCTTCACACATACACACAGCACACCCAACACACTATGCCTCTCACACATACATATATATCTAAGTGAAAGTGTGTCTCTATAATATACATTGAATTCCACAGCATTTCTGTGCCTCGATTCCAGCGCTGGACTGGGAAATATATATATATATATATATATATATAAACTACAGCAACCCTCGCACTGCACCACTACACAAATTATGCTCCAGATACACGCTAGATTCCTTACCCAACTCTGGATCATCCAATCTACACACACACACACACACTAGATCCCTATATACACACTAGATCCCCTACACACACACACACTGCACCACCTACACACACTACATTCCTGACATACACACTCTGGATCCCCTATGCACACACTACATTCCTTGTAAGCAAACACATACTACATTCTATAAACACACACTTTCTACAACCCATACACACACTACGTCACCTATATACACACACACACACACACATAGACTACAACCCGTATGCACACTCTTGCTACATCCCCTATACACACTATGCCCCCTATACACACACTCTCCACACATATTACACCACACACATGAAATCGACCTATTTACATAATACCACACCACAATCAGCTCACTCTAAACACACGCAATCCCACAAGCAGGCTCCAAACACATGCATGATACGCTTTCCTGGCCCTTTTGTCCTCTGGTATCCCACTAATGGAGACACCAGAGACAAGTTAAAAGCAAACACAGTGCAAGCATGTTATTACATTTGCTTGTGCTGCGCAGAACAAATACAGGGCCTTTTTCTCATGCTAGAGCTCTTCAGCGGGGC